CAGAGGACAGATCAAACAGGGAGAACAGATGGTTTGAAAAAGGGGTGAAGAAGCCAACTTTGCTAAAAGAAAAAAATTACTGAATTGCAGTTTCAGCTTCCAAGCATATTCACTCAGGTCCTTTAACACATTTCAAAGAGGTAACAATAGTACACTCATCATGATTTAATTGGCCAAACACAAAATCTATATAAAACAAAAGACTAACAACCCAGGAGAACAATGGATGAGTCATTGATTTGCATCTCGTTTGGAATTTACTTTGGAATATGGACCTCCATTATGCTTAAAATCATTGCAGGTTTCTCTAGCGTGACGGAATCGACGTCAGGACAGGGGCCAAAACGTTTTCAGAAAACTGAGCCAGAGTTTGTTTGTCTACCATTTAAACCTACTTTGTGGATTCCAGTCCAACAGAAATAAGTGGAAGAGAAGCTTATGCCCACTGTTAGGTTTTGAGGAAGGATCTGGAATGTTTTTTTATGTTTTTTTCTAATTCAAAGGCTTTTTTTCAAGCTACTGTCTGTGGCATCATAAACCCTTTAAAATATCAATACATTTAAGCAAATGGATTTAGGTTTAACCAACAAATCTAATGATCTCTCCAGAATTATGGATAATAATAAATTATATCCAAAAATTCTAAGGACAAAACAAAGAATCTGGTTTGATCCAAAATTATATGACAATTAAAACCTATATGAAGCATGTACTGCTACAGCTTCTTATATCATGTTTAAAAATAACAGTGACTCCAACGAGTCTCTCATTCTGCTGATTTTGCTATAAGCAATAATAGTTAACTGCAATACTGTTCTACAACACATTTCCACTCCAATTATTTCTTTGCACAGGAAAACCTCAGACTAACTCAGCTGAGCAAGGAGGCACTGACCTCAATCTCTGATAAGCAAGGCACTTACTCAAAAAAAAGAAAAAAAAAAAAAAAGAACAGATAAAGATAACTGCCTTAGTGCCCAAGATGCACAGTAGGCACATACAGGTGCTGGTCATAAAATTAGAATATCATGAAAAAGTAGATTGATTTCAGTAATTCCATTTAAAAAGTGAAACTTGTATATTATATTCATACATTACATACAAACTCATATATTTCAGATGTTTATTTTGTTTAATTTTGATGATTACAAATGACAACAAATGAAAATCTCAAATTCATCATATCAGAAAATTAGAATATTACTGAAGACCAATAAAAACAAAGGATTTATAGAAATGTTGGCCAACTGAAAAGTATGAACATGAAAAGTATGAGCATGTACAGCACTCAGTATTTAGTTGGGCCTCCTTTGGCCTGTATTACTGCAGCAATGCGGCGTGGCATGGAGTCGATCAGTCTGTGGCACTGCTCAGGTGTTATGATAGCCCAGGTTGCTCTAATAGTGGCTTTTAGCTCTTCTGAATTGTTGGGTCTGGTGTATTGCATCTTCTTCTTCACAATACCCCATAGATTTTCTATGGGGTTAAGGTCAGGAGAGTTTGCTGGCCAATTAAGAACAGGGATACCATGGTCCTTCAACCAGGTACTGGTAGCTTTGGCACTGTGTGCAGGTGCCAAGTCCTGTTGGAAAATGAAATCTGCATCTCCAAAAAGTTGGTCAGCTGCAGGAAGCATGAAGTGCTCTAAAACTTCCTGGTATGTGGCTGCGTTGACCCTGGACCTCAGAAAACACAATGGACCAACACCAGCAGATGACATGGCACCCCAAACCATCACTGACTGTGGAAACTTTACACTGGACTTCAAGCAACGTGGATGAAGTGCCTCTCTTCTTTTCCTCCAGACTCTGGGACCTTGATTTCCAAAGGAAATGCAAAATTTACTTTCATCAGAGAACATGACTTTGGACCACTCACCAGCAGTCCAGTCCTGTTTCTCTTTAGCCCAGGCAAGACGCTTCTGATGCTGTCTGTGGTTCAAGAGTGGCTTGACACAAGGAATGCGACAGCAGAAACCCATGTCTTTCATACGTCTGTGTGTGGTGGTTCTTGAAGCACTCACTCCAGCTGCAGTCCACTCTTTGTGAATCTCCCCCACATTTTTGAATGGGTTTTGTTTCACAATCCTCTCCAGGGTGCGGTTATCTCTCTTGCTTGTACACTTTTTTCGACCACATCTTTTCCTTCCCTTCGCCTCTCTATTAATGTGCTTGGACACTGAGCTCTGTGAACAGCCAGCCTCTTTAGCGATGACCTTTTGTGTCTTGCCCTCCTTGTGAAAGGTGTCGATGGTCGTCTTTTGGACAACTGTCAAGTCAGCAGTCTTCCCCATGATTGTGTAGCCTATAGAACTAGACTGAAAGACCATTTAAAGGCTTTTGCAGGTGGTTTGAGTTAATTAGCTGATTAGAGTGTGGCACCAGGGGCCATCAATTTTGAACCTTTTCACAATATTCTAATTTTCTGATATGATGAATTTGAGATTTTCATTTGTTGTCATTTGTAATCATCAAAATTAAACAAAATAAACATCTGAAATATATGAGTTTGTATGTAATGTATGAATATAATATACAAGTTTCACTTTTTAAATGGAATTACTGAAATCAATCAACTTTTTCATGATATTCTAATTTTATGACCAGCACCTGTATATACACAAAAAGATCAAAACATACACAAGTTAGATTAATTTAAATAGAAATGTAACTATATAACAACAAAGATATAATTCAGATTTTTAATTTTTTTTTATTCTTGCATTATGGATGTGAAATAAGTTTAAACAATTGTTTTGTAAACATTTAGATTTCTTCCTTAAAAAGTTGTGTTCTTTAAGAATTAAATTCTGTATTCAGCGGGCTCAACTCTTGTGGTGGTTGCAGTAACGAGGTGTAAATTAATCTTGAACTGTTTTCATTTTATATCTACTAAAAATTAAAGAAATATTAAACATTTACAGTAAGAAAATTCCCTTTCATTTACTGTACATTTTTTCACAAAATTATCAGTGTCATTTTTATTTCACCCCTTCCAGTTCTTCCAATTATAAATGTTACTTTTTATTTACAACCCTATTTTTTCTACTTTACCTGAGTAGTGAGGTTTGAATTGTTGAAACACATTAAAAATTTTTGGAAGGTACAAATAGGATGAGACATGAAAGCCTATACTAACATGCGCTGGCTAATATAACAGAGGTAAACTGGGTTCACTTTGACGCTTGTAAAGATGATACCAGGAAGGAATAAAAATCTCACTGTTACCCACAGCAAATAGCAATATCACAGGACTATCTCCACAAGAGCATGTAATCTATCTGGCAGGAATGGCTCCAAAACTGTTTTTCAGACTCATGATCACAAAATTAAGTGTTTGTAGTTTGCCAACGTCTGGTGGAACTTTTACTGGAAATCTGCTAATAAATAAGATGAAACTAACATTTAATTTTTAAGCAGAAACCTCCAGCTAAGGTTTAGTAGATTAGAAAAGAGGTAAATGAGGTTACTTACTTACTCTACTTACTTACTCTTTTAAGGTTAACTTACAAATAAGCTTCAAATACAAATGTTCCAATCCAAACATTTTTTGACTTTTATGATCCATCCTCTTTTTGTTTTGTAAAGCTTTGGCCTCTTGATAAATATTTAGCTAACAATATTAAAAGATTTTTTAAAAAGCACTGAAAATACATTGGTCACTACTATACACTGTTACTAAATGCTATCTAGTATGGTGGGATAAAGTGGACAAAATTAAATAAAATCTAAATATTTCATGAAATAAATGTTAATGTAAAATAAAATAAAATAAAATGCAATAGCTGAATTTGTTGCAGATATTTAGGACCAATTTTTGGATAAAACAACTTGATGTTAATTCCACACTTCGCAGCATATATATTGACCTCAGAGTCAAGGTAAACTCGAAAGAAGTTGTCCGGACTTGCCAATTATTAGTCAGAACCTCTATGTTGTCGTTCTAATCCAGTTTAAATAGTCAACTTGAAATAAAGATAAAGAAGAAAAAGGAAAAAGAAAACATGGCTCTTCAGCTCGCCGACCTGTTTGGTTGTTGTTACCCAATTTTTTATATGGTTATATTGAAATTGTTGTTTCTGGCGTATTGTATGAATCATTGATTTTGAATACTGATCTGATAAAATAAAGTCTTTGTTCAAAAAAAAATAGTCAACTTGGCAGTTTAGATAATTTCATGATGAGCCACAGAAGTCACAAAATATATTATTTAAATACAGTGAAATAATTATTTATATCATATTGCTGAATTTATAAAACATAATTTCATCAGCATTCATAATTTAACTTTAATCACTTAAAAGGCATGTTCAGTTATTATGCGGTACAGTTGATTATTATATTGTCTATCTCAAAACTTAATGGTTAGGAAATTCACATCTTTATTTTATTATGTATTCATTCATTTAAGTTTGTACCCTCAAAAACTCCATAAACTCTTAAACACTGAGTCTTCTTGACTTACGTAGTAAGAACACGCAAACCAAAGACTGGCCGGTCACCAGTCAGAACACATTAAACTAAAACAAACGGTGAGTCACTCTCACTGCTGTAACGAATTTGTGCAGAATGAATTGAAGCAAGTCTGGTGACAAGAAGACTCAAATTTGAACAGTTCCAGAAGTTAGCAAATCTGAGCCAACTAAATATGACGCGGAAACTTTCCCACAATCTTAAATTCTAACAACAAAGGAAAATCTACATGAAAGAAAGACTAAATAGTTTGAAAAGCTTTGTATATACTGTATCACTAAAGTTCATTCAACAATGAGTGTTTTTGAACAATGTCAGCTATATAAGATAATAATATAAGATAATTTCTACATAGAGGTACTGAATTTAATTTCATAATCTGTGAATGCATGAAGACAATAAACGATTCCTGATTTTTTATTCTTGTAGGAAGTATTGTCTGCAGTGTTCTAACATTTGCATTGTACAGGTATTTGGGTATGTCTGCAACAATAAATGCCTGACCAGAGTCTAAAAAACTGGACCCACCTGTTCCAATATAGTACTGATGCGGTCCAACTCGCAGTCGATCACATAACGCTTCTCCTGCCTCCTGTCCATCTCTTCAATAATGCGCTTGAACTCTGCGGCGTCTGTTGTGCTGCTGACAGAGCGAGCAGTCACCTGCCAGTTGTTGGCCACTGCTGCTTCCATGATGGCCTGAAGGATTGAAAAACCTGGAGAGAAAGAGATAATGACTCAGAGGATAGCAGAAAAAAACAAAAAACAGACTGGGTCAAAGAAATAATTATGCAAGGGCAGCCTGACTTATTCTTGAGGTTAATAGAGGTTAAAAGATCATCTCATTAAAATAAAAGCATTGTGGCATCTGAGTCAAAACACTGTCTACTGTTTGGAGAATGTGCGTGCAAAATTTAGTAATTTTCAGTTTAAATTAAAAAGGCGTCTCCACATTATTAAAAGATCAGTAAGTTACTTTATTGCATTTCGCATTTATTGAATGATGCCATTTAGCTCAGCCAGATGTTGACTTTGACACTGCTTTGAAACACACTGTGTCCCTGTCTCCTTGGTGGATTGTGCTAGAGCATTTAAAGATAAAAACAATAAAAGATTCATCCAGGCCAGTCGTAAAAGGAGAGAGATCATTATGCTATGAGAAGAATGGAGAATGAGCCCTTCTAATGATTAATTCACACGTGAAATATTTTCATTTAACAGTGCGCTCAGAAACACTGCGGTCAAATCGCATACCACAGAATGAATAATGTAGACCTAATTCTGGGGGGGATGAATTGCATGTAGCACAAGCTGAAATAAAAATGGCTTAAATCATCTCCAGTGTTGAACAAGTGACAATGAACATGAAGGTTATTCATGAAAATCAAACACACTACTGGTAATTCATTAAAAACCAAGGTCAATGAAATTGCAAATTGAATGTCAAATAAGCCTCTTTTCTATACATCGCCTCATTTTTCTTCTTATGACATGCTGGTAACTGATACAAAAAGAGGGAAGGAAAAAAGGATGAAACAACACCAAATTCTGGCAGACGTAAATAGATTTTATATCATGATTTATATAGGCTCACTGTGAGACAATGTTATTCAAATTTCCTGTCACATTTCCATGATAAGCAGTGGACAAAGTTAACAGTTGTCAGTTTCTTATTACTGTAAACACTGTAGGCAACCTAATCTCCACATCTATGGTAAAGTATTCTAAATGACAAAAAATAGCTAAAAGAGAAGAAAATTAAAATCCAAGTTTCTGTGTCCAGGTGACTTTTTTAGTTGAGGTTGAAAAAGTTGTGCTGATTGTGTGTCTGTAATTTCCCATACTTTCATATAACCACCACACGTCTTTTTGTTGGCAGAGTAAAGCAATACAGACTAACTGTTGGATTAATTACACATGAGTTATTCTACTTTAATCATATTATTATGCTTACACATTTTGTTATCCTTATTTTACTTATATCATAAAGAGTGTTGAAATATTTTACCTGCTTGCTCTGTACTAATGTTTTAAGTCTGTGCAGACGGAGTGCTGATTGCTAATTGCTAACACTAACCCAGCTCATTATCTATCAAAAGGTTAAGGGTCCAGGTGCATGGAGAGATATGCAGGATTTCAAAAAAGAATGAAGCGCAAGCCAGAAGGTGTGGCAAAATCATCCCTGGGTTACTGTATGCTGATGATGTTATGAAAGCACGAGTCTAGGGTCCTGATCTTGGGACTGATGACTAGCTTAATAGTTCATTCCATTCACCTGTCTAGCCCTGCCCAATTTCTCATCACTGTAAATTTGTGTCACCTGCTCTAGTCTCTATTTAAACTGCTTGCTACCAGTTATCAGTGCCAGATTATTTAAGTCTTCGGTAAGTTCCTCAAAGGCTACCAGGTTTTGACTCCTTCAATAAAAGTTCTAGACTAAGGATTAGAAACATGTCTCCTTGCCATTTTTTCTAAGGGTCAATATATTCAGTTCTCTGATAATTAGACAAAAAAAACAATAAAACTGTTTTCTCAAATGTTCAGTTGCAATTTTAACTTTTTTTCTCCAAGGTTATTTGGAATAATGTCTCCTGATATGCTGCTTTTCACTCTTCTTCCAGCCCCGTCCCCAAACCCTTCTTTTGTTCTCTAATATGACAAAGGGTCTTCTTTGCCCTTTTTTGCTATTTCTGCCATGTCATAACCATTCAAAATAAAAAATGGTTGCATCCAGGTGTGTGGCTATTGATGAAAATGGTCGGGCTGCCATGAACAGACTTCCACTGGGTCGGTGCCAAAGTGTGGGTTTCTGAACACAGCCCGTAAGTAAAGATAACAAGGGTCTTATAAACACTTAAATTATCATCTTAGGGACTAGAAAGAGAATCTATATCAAAGTAAAAATGTTATTTAGTTCTGCTTTAAAGAAAAGACAGTAGCTACAACAAAGACTGCAAAATGGTTTACGACTGTGTCAGGCCACTGAAAGCTGATTGTCAGAGAGCATTTTGTAAAGTTTGCTAAAATTATTTTCCAGCTTCATACGGAGGAGAGCATAATGTAAAGTAACACTGTAAAAGTGTGTTGCTTAAAGGGATAGTTCGGGATTTTTGACATGAATCTGTATGGCATCCCCATCACCAGTGTCATGCAATCACACTGACTTACCCCTGGCAGCATCCTGTGAGCAGAGTTCTCGTCCAGCTTTGGTCAAGCCGAAAGTAGTCCGGCAGGTTTGCTAGACCCAGCAAAATAAAACGTTTCTCTTCCCAAAACATTATGTGTTCAAAAGAGCGATATTTTTGCATCCCAAAAACATTGTAGTGGAAAAAGTCACACGTCGTTATCACTTGGTCCTATTTTCTCTCTGTTCGTATCAGTGCGCGCGACACCATGACCTGACAGCTAGGGCCTACTAACCTGACAACAGCCAGATGCATGTCTCATGCATCTGGCTGTTGTTGAGCTCGCTGTCAGAATGACGGCGCGCACTGATACGAACAGAAAGAAAATAGGACCAAGTGATAACGACGTGTGACTTTTTCCACTACAATGTTTTTGGGATGCAAAAATATTACTCTTTTGAACACATAATATTTTGGGAAGAGAAACGTTTTATTTCGCTGGGTCTAGCAAACCTGCCGGACTACTTTCGGCTTGACCAAAGCTGGACGAGAACTCTGCTCACAGGATGCTGCCAGGGGTAAGTCAGTGTGATTGCATGACACTGGTGATGGGGATGCCATACAGATTCATGTCAAAAATCCCGAACTATCCCTTTAACATACGGCTGAAAAAACGCTGCCCCTCATACGCATGTTGTCCTAGATATATTTTTTTAATCCTGTGATGCTAGTTTACTTCTATTAATTTTATGATATCAATTTTGGTATTTCAGAGTGAAGACTAAAAGGAAAAGTAAAAAAACCTTAATTTTTTTTCATACTAATAACCAGTTAATAAATGCACAGTTAACATGCGACTTAAAAAAAAAAAAAAGCAGCCTACATTTCAAAGGTAAAGTTTTCTTTACATGTTCCCATGACAACTGATCCTAATCCTCCACATCATTAATTAATTAAAGTTTGACTTATTGATCTCTACTTTATTGAATGTGCAGAAAAATCTAATTATCTATTGTTTAATAAAACAAATGCCTACCCTCGATTGCTGAAAGATGTAGGCATATGAGATACGCTTCCTTTAAAAATGCTACCAAAGCAAAAATCGACTAGAGTCTGCCAATATTTAAAATCCTTGTGCTTCCACAATAGATAAATTACATATGTGCACTATGAGAATATTAGCATCATTATGGAATGCTGAAATATAACATGAAAGATTTAAATACTATCAATAAAATTACCTCCTAGAAAATAATGCTCGTAGTATAGTTATTGAAAATTGCAACTCTACTCACTCCATGATTAAAGCAAATATTTGGTGTGGTAAGTTGGGGAGATACGATTAAGTAAAATGATACTACTGGCATAAAATCAAATACAAACAGCATAAAAATAAAACAACAAGCCGGTCGCTGTAACCGCAGAAAATCCCGCTTCACAAAGATAGGATATTATTGGTAGGATGAGTCTTGAACTTAATTAACCTGTGACAAGAGGCACAGATGTACCAACTAATGTAATTGGGAGAGGATACCGCAATTTTTTATATTTTTCAAAATAAAACATCACTCAGACTATGATCGTCGATAAATTTATATATATATATATATATATATATATATTTTTTTTTTTTTTTTTCTGTGCGGCCCGGTACCAAATGACCCAAGGACCGGTACCGGTCCGTGGCCCGGTGGTTTGGGACCGCTGACTTAAACCACATACAGCTGGCCCTGCTTCAATCATCTTCATATTTATTTAATGCCATCTTTTACACCCATTTTTGTACATTTTGTCCCTTCAAACTGTCATTAATTACTGGCAAACAAATACTCAATACACACGTGTTGTCTTATTCACTAAATTAAAATAATAATACTGAAAACGTTCTCTTTCTCATTAAATTAAAGACTAATATAGATTCATTGCATAGAGACAGATGTTTCAAGTAGTTATGTCTATTAACATGATTATGTGCTTGCCACCAATAAAATCAGACCAATTAAAAGAAATATTTTCTATAAATGAAAAGTTTAATGAAAATATTTTTTTAATTGCTGCTTAAAAGTTGTATTTTTTAAAAGCAACTTTTGATCTAATAAACAGGCTGAATAAGAGCACATATTCTAATAATAAATACGACCATCCCTCATCCAGGGATAAGTGTTTGTTACAGTGTATGTTCTTTGTTGTTCAATATTTTTTTGTATTATGGATATAGGTTTTCATAAAATGCTTTAATCTCATACAATCTAATTCTTTGTAGATTATTTTCTGCAGATGGTGCTTACACCATATTTTAGCTCATTTATCTTTTCTTTTTGGCTGTTTAGGGGAAACTAATGCTTCCCAAATATGAGATTTTGACCATGATTAAACTGAATAAAATCAAAGTGCCCCCTAACACTTTCATAAACATTTATGAAGCAGCAAACACAAAATATAATGTGAAATCAATCATTGGAAGGAGCTTTTTAACAAATAAGGTTTAAGTTTTATCATCTCCGGTTTAAAATCTAATATAGTCAGACTTATCAAGCATTAGTTTGATCACTCAACATTGAACAGATATTGTTTAAATATCTTTTTATAAA